AACTGCTTTCTGTAGAAGCTGCTGCATCCCGTCCTCAGAGTAAATTGCCAGAAGCGCCGACACTTCCTCATCATTCCACCGCTCCGGTGTTGTAGTACGTGTGGTCATAACTGCTTTAAAGTACAAAAAAACTACTCGCTCAGGTGTGGATGTGGTTTTGTAGCGAGGAAAAAAATGGCTGCCTAACAAAACAAATTCAGAGTCTAACGGGGCATGGTTTGCAATTCGCCCAGCCAATAGAAATAGAATAGAAATTGGCACTCTTTTATCACCAGGTTCGTACCACCTCTCTAGCAGGGACTGAAAATGGCCAAAAGAGTTCCCGGCACTGACTAGTCCCGACGGTGTGAACGCGACATTATTGGTACTAACGGAACTAAAGAACCAAAGTACCAGGGAAACTCCCGCGGTGTGAATGCGGCTAAGGAACTTGAGCATCTGAAGTGTACTTTTGGTGTACTTTCTGGTTAATAATGTGGCCTTTTTGGCAGATTAACTAAAGGTGTCCGGCTGCTGTGGTGGGGAAAGATGAGGCTGAACTTACAATGGGGTTTAATGGAGACATGTTTAAAGTTGTTGTCACTTCATGCCCTCAAGAGGCATTTTGTTTAATTTTTTTACTTAATTTATTTTAATTTTTCAAGCTACGAGATGTTTTCCTACGTTTCTCATGAAAAATTATGTCTCAGGAATTATGGCAGATTTAAAAGAAAATATGAAGGCAAAATTAAATCTATCCTCCACTCTGTGACATCAGGCACTCTAAATCTGAAGAAGGCCTCTTTACCAAGGTCTGAACAATGTTTAATATCTCTAAAAGTACGAATCAGATTTAAAAGTTGTGTTGCACGAATAATGTCAGAAAGATGTTGGAATGAGGTTTCTGAGTGAAAGTATGAAGGAGCAGTTGCATGAAGATTGTTGAAGTCTGAAGAGTTTCTCCATTGACTTCCATGTTAAACATTTGATGAATTATGGGATGTATCTCTGGAATTATGAAAGTTATGAATAAGAAAAGTAATAGCCATCGATTCCCGACCGAGCATTCCAACTAAAATATGAAGTCGCTTACATTTGTATGCAGTTTGTTACCCTGGTGACCAACTTCTATCAGCAGATTGTGTCTTTAAACACAGTTGTACTGCCAATTAAATGCAGCAAGAAGTTAATTGTGAATCTGAAGGGACAAGAGATCAAATACAGGATAGGAAAGCAGAAAAAAAAACATATTTATAAAGACTAGACAAGCTTTTTTGCCGAACTTATGTGTTTTTCAGGATCAGAATTGATTTGTCCTACAGAGGGGACATTTACATTGTTACAGCAAAAGTGAAGATAGAGACAAACTAAATAAAACACTCTATTAGAAAGGGCTACACATAATATTTTAAATGTTTTTTATGGTAGTATGGTGATCTACTGTGTCCTGTCTTCCTCCCCTCTGCATAACATCCCATCACCAGTAATAAACACAACGCAGAGTCCCAGGGTGTTCAGAGAGGCTACGGGACATTGGGTTACATAAAGAATAAAAATGGCTATTTCAATATATTTAGTTTTTGGTTGAACTAGTAGAGAACCCATTATTTAGTGGACGCGAAGAATATATAAAGGAACATATATACCTCACCTTTATTTTCATTTAGCACCAACTTCTATAAACTGATCCAATCCTGTTACATTTGCTGAGAAGTTTTTATGAGCAAAAACAAAGTTACCCATCAATATATTGACCAGGCTGTTTTGTCTTATAATGTCATAACTGAAATGGAAACATTGATTTCCTGTTTCTGGCATTGGGGACACAGGCACATTATTTGAAAGATTTCTTGAAAGCAAAATCAATCAGCTTTGGGTACTGTTGTTTTTTTAGGAAATACCGTTTGATTTTTTTTGTCAATTACTGCTTGACCATCTTCCAATGTCAGTTTCCTTAAATGAGAAACACAAGAAGAGTTGGCCACGTGCCAAAAAGGAGAGGGACGTTGTAAATAGTGAAGCTGGATCTCCACCCGAGGGTTTTTATATTCTCACACTGCCAGAGCGTGAGAGTACTCTGAAGGCAGCACTCACTTCAGAAAACAGATCCACCCACAGACACTGATTGTAGTAGAATATATTGTGCTGAGTCAACACCTGAGCTGCATGGCGTGGGCTGCTCCAATATACTCCAATTCTCTGTGTACAGGCTGCAACATCTGTTGTTTCTGAAGTTCACTAGTTTGATGAAAGCATTCAGAAAACGATTTACTTGAAGAGTTGCTTATTTAATGTGTTTACAAATACCCATGTACCTAAACCCCAAAATAGAAGTATCGGATGTGTGGTTTTGGTTTTGTTAGAGATGTACATCTGCCACCAGGGGGCGTCCTACAGTATGTTAATGTCTCTTAAGAGCAATATATGTTCATTCAAATGATAAAATTAGCTTAGTTTATGTCCAGAAAGTATTTAGTAGTTAATAGACATATACACATACCCTCTTTTAAAATGAGTATACTTAAACAAAACAATATTTCCGTCTGATAAATGGTCAAACATCCTACATCAATTAATCTAATTTTGTTAATGAGAAGCATGTTTCAATGTAAAGGTCCATTAATCTCCATCGAGGGACAGAATTATCCTGCCTAATGCCCTGTATCTAATAAAATAACCAGAGCAGGAACAATTCATCTCGAGCTCTCTGCAGTACAACAGATCTTCTGCGGTCAGTATCATATGCCATCCATTAATGGTCCTAGAAAGACATTTGTTATAATTAAAAGTTAACCAACTGTGTCCTTCTGTACCATTTCAAACATTCGTCATGTCATTGGTGATTAAAATACACTGTGAGAATATGTTACTGCAAGGTTTATTTATACCTAACAAAAGATTTGTTACAATAATATTCGTAGTAGATCATCATGTTTAATTTAATAACCTATCGCTGACCTGTATCAAGGATTAGCTTTGTCTAACCCTTTAAATATATATCAATTGTATATTTAATGATTGAAAAGTTGCTGTAGTTAAGAAAAGTTTACCTCAAAGAGCAGTATGTCACAAAAGCTTAACCTCTATCCCCAAAAAGACAGAGAAGTTGAGAAGGATGATATCCTCTCTTATGTGCCTATGATTTAGCTTTGGTTCTTACTGTAATAGCAAAGGTCCTGACCAGATGTATTAGCTTTTATTGCTATTTATATCCAAGATGGATGGGCTAGCAATTTCCTTTTATATCTTCCATAAATATTTATTGTCTGAAAAATCACACAGCGCAACATCTAATCTATTATAGGATGAAACAGAGCAGAGATTTAGGCCAGTTCTGGAAACAGAATACTTTGATTTAATAGCATCGTGACCTTAATATGGTTCTGTAGCAATTTGATTTATCCTGAAAACTGGTAATATTGATCAAAGGGAAGACACATTTAATAAGTGAGCATTGCAGAAAATCGGTGCATTCATTAGCTAACTATGCTTTGTGCATGCGTGCATCCCATTCACACTTATAATGGTGTTTAATTCAATATATTTCCACTGTCATTTGTGAAAACATTATTAGGAAAACCTGCAGTTTCCACTCTAAACATGCAGAAACATTCTTATGAACCTGCCACGGTCACGTTCGCTCATGATTGCTTTCTTCCTGATTTAAGGCTATGCTGAAGCGACGAGATACGCCTGAGTGCCTGGCGAAGTTTAACCAGATAAGAAGACAGCAGCATTAGTAAGGAATGGAAGAGGCCTGGAGATACACTGAGCGTGACTGTGAGAAAGGAAGGAACCAGAGAAGCCTGTTTTCTTTCTGGCTGCAATGTTGTTATGCTTTGTTTAAACTCATAAAGATATACCCCCTGGAGGTTTTATGCTAAAAATGCTCCCTTTGAAGAAGTTATAAGCAACACATTTTGAGTTCATTTTTAAAATAACACAATCGGCAGAATTCAAGTACAAAAAAACACCACAATATTTCATAAAAATTTGTATATCTTTATAAAAAAATGTGCTTATAAAACAGTAAATGTTCATCGTCATAATGTATTACATTACAAAACATACATAACATACATACAGTATCAAAAAACACCATCAGGAACATTAGTGCAGTAGTAACAACCTTCATATAAATCACATTTGAAATTGCTCATATTACAAATACAGTGGAAATGTGCCCCTACAACTCTTAGTCACAACAAAGAAGAGCCGGTTAAAAATAGTCAGTTTAATAAATGTTAGTTTCCTTTAAGGGCTTGTCCGAGTCAGAGTCCTCGAGCGTCAGATATCTACGCCTGCAAGAAGGTGATGCGATTATTTCTGTTCCGTCTCTTGCGGCGACCTTTGACTTGGCTTGTGAGTTTCTTGCCTCCTGGAAACAAAAAAAACTGATTAGTGTGATCACCTATAATTACAATTCCTTTAATTCTTTTCTCATAATTCAGCAAATTCAAGAGTAAGATCTTCCTTGGTTTCCTCTGATGAAGACATAAACTTAGCAATATAGTTGGCAATCCAAGTCATTACTACTTAATTAATTCTGCAAACCTTCCTTGTATTATCGTCTTCAGTTCACTGCATGCATTCACCTGTTACTCACTTCTAGCACACACGTCCATGCAGCTCTGCCTCGTGACGAAGTTGTTGCTGCTCCCTCCGCAGCCTGAGTAGATGAACTCATCACACATCTTGGTGGCGGTGTTGTAATAAAACCGAGGAATTGAAGCAGAGCAGCTGCCTTTGTCCAGAGGGTCCAGGCAGAGCACAGGAACACCTGAAAAATAAGACACAAGACATAAGACATGGTGCATCACAAAGGCATGGAAAAGCCCTTTTTTCACACACAGTGAATGCATTAAGTTCACCTTGAATGTTCTTTCTTTCTAAACATTATAGGTCAAACTGTTGTAATGCAATCATGTCTTGTATCTTGGTTTTCACGCATGAAGAGATGGATAAAGTGAGTTTCACTCCAGGATTACTCAGTGGCAGAACAAGTAAACAAAGTGTATACTAACTTTTTTTTGGACTGCAGTACTCCTTGCAGGATGTGAGGTCTCGGAAGCGATTGGAATTTCCCTGGCATCCACCGTAATAAAAGGGCTCACACTGCATGGTGGTCATGTTGAAAAAGTAGCGGCTAAAGAGGGCCCGGCATGTTCCCTCCTCTTTAGGGAACCTGCAGATTTGGGGAACCTCTGTGAAGAAGAAGAAGAAGAAGAAGAAGAAGAAGAAGAAGAAGAAGAAGAAGAAGAAGAAGAAGAAGAAGAAGAAGAAGAAGAAGAAGAAGAGCCACATTTTAGGTTAGGATCAGAGCATCCTGAGAAAAACTCAAGTATTGAATAAATTATACTTTAATATAACTTTCATAGCAGTCAATTACACTATCATATACAATACAAAGAGTAAACCACATCCTTTAGCAGATATTTAATAAGTTACAGAATTGAGCACCATCATTACAGTGAGAACCTACTTGGGATTCTGAAACATGATTTCTGGCACTCCTGATAGCTCCTGAAATTATTGGCATTCCCCTGGCACCCTCCATAGTAGAAAATCTCGCACTTTTGGGTGATAGTGTTGTAGTGGTAACGCTCAATATCCGCTCTGCAAGGTCCCTCGTCCACTTGAAGGAGACACTTCACAGCTGAAAGCAGCAAAGACATTGTTGTTTAAACACGAAGTAAAGAAGCTGTGCGTAACGGCCGCTAAACTGGCGATCCGTAGGTCTTACGCAGCCAGGAGGTTATGTTATGGACAACAGGACTTTAAAGTGTTAAAAAGAGTTTCGAAAACTACAGAAGAAACGATAAAACATGTTGTGAGCTTACCTTTTGGTGACAACGCTAACACGTTGTAAAACGAGGAGAACAGTGTAAACAGCGCTAATGTGCAAAACTCCATTGTGCAACTTTTGCTCTAACTCCAGACTTTTCCGCTTTGACGACCATCCCAGCCACATCCCTTTTTATAGCTTTGTGAAGTGTTTCAAACCATGGACTTGAGGGGCGGGGATTCAATGACTCATTGAATACTTCATGTTAACCCGAGTATTGGTGATGAATTCACTCATTGACATCAGAGACTCGTTTTTACGTTGTAATAGTGCGTATATTTTGTGACTAACAGCGTATTCCTCACAACTAAAACCAACACATGGAGACAAGTTTAATTCCCCTCGGTCTTCACTGGTCCCTGAGTAGGCTATGATGATTATGATGGTGATGATGATCTTGATGATGTACACAGTAACCCCAAATAATCTTTGTAATTTTTCCACAGACTTTCTTTCATGAAACCCCTTTTATTGCGTTGTTTTAATGGATAGACACTCTTGTGAAACATTAACATTTTACTTGTCTGATTAATCCTGCCAAGTTCCCACCATTACCCGTCTGACTGGATCAGAGGCACACACACACACACACACACACACACACACACACACACACACACACACACACACACACACACACACACACACACACACCCTGAAGGTTTCACAGTCGCCTCCGTTTCCAGCCTTGTGCTTTATATGTTATTTTCTTTTACCTAATAATTGCTGCCGCCTTTTACATTATTTAAAGGAAACAGTAATGTCTTGCAACTTTAAAATGTTCAAAGTACCCATTCCTTAGACTTGAAAGCAGCATTATCTGTCAATTTAGGTAAAAATGTATGATAAAATATAGCTGTTTGGTTTCAAATATGTGCATCTCCCCACTTGTTTATTGCAGGATGTTAGAACTGGCGTGCAGTCATGAATAAAATGAAGATGTGCATCCACCTTGACAGGTGAAGGCTAATACAGATTATCCTTCTTATCAAAGGGACCTCATACATGAAGCAAACCAGTAACCCATTTTATATGAGAGAAAACAGAATAAAAAACAGCTACATCTAAATATAATCTGCAATATACAGCTTCTTGTTTTACTCAAAACAGACACCTGTGTCATTAGTTGTCCTGTTTAAAAGCATCGGACACTGTCTTGGTCATCAGAGGGGCCTTGTTTTAATCAGATTAGAGGATTAGGATTGTTTCTGCAGATTACTTTATAACCCAGATTGAGGGAGAGGAGAGGGATTCTTCAACTGGATTTCAAGGGAGAAGGACTGCTCCTCGTTAAGCATCCGTAAGTGAATTTCTATTCCATAAATGTACGTTTTCTGAAACATGTGAGTAAGAATCTTTAGAGATCTTTATCTGTGTTTATAAATGGCAGTGAGGATTTGGCAGAAAATTGTTTCTTTTTTCTTTTTTTCCCAGAGAATGCCATTCATAAACATAGAAGACCTGACAGACAAGGACAAGGCTCTAATGGAAGTAAACCAACTTAAAACTGAAATAAAACTGGAAAGGTGGTTGGTAAGTCTTTCCCCCTTGATATTATGTCACTGTCTTCATGTTTTTTAAAGACCTCAGTAAAGACATTTAGTTGTCAGACTTTAATCCTTGACAAGCAAAAATGTATAATTGTCAACCTGTTTAAATGCAATTATACAAACTGCAACTCATTCTACCAGGATTTGCTATATGACTATAACACTGTCTCAACCCCTTTGTCTGTTCACTTTAGACATCTAAGTGCTGTGAGGAAATCAAGGCATACATTCAGGCTGCAGAGGAAGAGGACGTCCTTTTCAAAGGCATTGCAGAGGATAAGAATCCCTTCAAGGAAAAAGGTGGCTGTGTCATCTCCTAAACTGAACCTGAGGAGCTTTTCATATCTCAGATTAGCACCAAAGAACATTCTCCTTCCCCCTCATAAAATGGATTTGCAGTCTGAGAAGACTTGAGGGATATAATAAAAAGAAAGATATTACAAAAGTTCCCATGTAAACTATTCCCCCTCTTCTAGGAGGATGTATAGCCTTATAAAAGTATTCTTTGAAAAGATGCAATAAAAAAAGTAGTATTTGGCATGGTTATGTAATCCTTCTCTCTCATGTGGTGCATAGTCTGGGAGAATGGGCCCATGTGTTGTGTCATATACAGAAGCAACTGTCATTAAACGAGCTTGTTTATAACTCAGCTTGTCTCCATCATAACTGTGAAAGGTTTCAGACAATATATAGTTTCATAAATCCGATTACGCGCAAGTTTGAACTATAATTTTCTATATGTTGCATATCGTTTTTCATATCTTTGCCTGGAATAAAAAAGCACAACATATTTCATGGGTAAAAACATGCACATCTACCAATCCTTTAAGACAGTTGTTTTGTCTTTTGATCTATTTAAAACAAGCATGTCTATTTGTGACTCTTAGTCATACATTGCAGGACTTTCATCAAACAAGGATATTTCCTTCCATAGATTATTATATTTAACAAAGCTTTGTTCTGTGATTCAATCTCTGATGAATATTGAAGAGGAAAAACTCTCTAGGATTTACCAAGAGATTAGCAATGATTACAGAAAATAAAACACATGTGTATTAGTGCAGAAGAAGTATGATTCCCCCAACTTCCTTCATACTGGGAGGAACCACTACTTTAATAGATTATAAACTGCAAGTGGTAGTAAGCTTTTTTCAACTACTGGGTTACACATTGTATCTTTATCTAGTAGGGGTATTTCCCTACATGACTGAAGCTGACGGGAAATCAAACATTACCAACATTAACATTTCCCATTTGGATTAATGTTTTATCTCGGAAGAAACCCAAAATTCAAAGTAGGTGAAAGTTACATTCACAGACTGCGCATGCGCACACGCTGTCAACAGACATGGCGCTGCGTGAAGGAGCTCTCCGTTTAAACCTGCTACTCAACAGCCGTACTTTCTACAAATTCAACTCCTCTGTTGGTGTCCGGTCGTTGTCGGACAATGTTTCATCTAAACCTGTAACACCCAGTGCCCCAGAGATCGCGGGTGACCATTTAATCTACACACAAGAGCACTTTGCATTAAAGGAGTCCCTCAGAAAGGTAACACATGACTGCTAACAACATAGCATCCTTTGGCATTACCATGAAAACAAGGCTAGGTTTATCTTTGGTAACAAGGTGACAGGTGGATATATTGTAGTACCCAAGTGTGTTGTTAGAAAGCAGGAGTGTTATTATGCTTAAAGTAGCTGTATGACGCAGCTACATTATAATGGGAGTGGGTGAAAGGTCACTTTGTTAGCTTGTTATATAGGTACCCTTCATTGAACTGTCGTGGTGTCTGCAGAAGCTGATTGTGTTATGGCTTCACTGAGTTAAACATAAGTTTGTACGTTGCTAGCACTGTTGGAAAGCTGTCTTCATCCTCAAATGACTGCCCAAACATACAAATAATAACGTGTTTTTTGTTGTTGCACAGACTCAGTGTTTTTATGACCCATACTTCACTCCCACATGTCCTACCTGGGTAATGTCATCTCTGCTCTGGCACTGAGATTATTTTTAAGCTTTGGTTACTTTAGTCAGTTCAACTTGAGATAACATATGGTGTCATGGCAGCAGTCATTGTGTGATAGGGCTGGATGCACAAACTATGTTCAATGAAGATTAGTAGTTGTGGTCAAGCCTGACCACGTAGGAGTTTCCCGGAACAATTTAAAAATGAATACTGCAACAAGTTTTGTTGCTTTAACATGTGTTTCAGAGACTGATGTTGGCTGAACAATATTAGACTAGGTTGATTTAGAGGTCAAAATTAGATGTGTTCTTCCTATAAAACGATATTTATATTAGTATGACAGTAAAGTGCTGATAAAGTGTGGGAAATGTTCTGATACCAGAGGATTTGGGGACTATTTGTAGACCTAAACACATTTTGACGTGGCTTGACAACTGATTGGGCCATGACATTCAGATTTAATCTCCTATCAAGCCAGTAGGGCTGGTCAATGGGATTTAACCAAAGCAGATCTGATGTTTGGACTTTTTGGACACTGAATAGTATGTTGCATCTCCCTTATATAGAAACTGCACATTTGTTATTCTTCTTCCGGCCATTGACTTTGTCTGATTAGAAAATATTCAGTATAAAAACAGATTGTGTAATTTGGGAAAAATGGAAAGTGAGTCCCACTTTCTGTTTTACAGCACAATGATATAATAATTTGTATTTTCCCATGGCATTGCTTGATGAAACCCTGCAATATTCTGGTCATTAAAAGTGTAAAATGGCTGTTTAATTTAAATTTGCTACTTTTGTTTCAAAATCCTAGAATAGAAGGCATATGGATTATTTCTTTAGTGTTTACTCTGATGTCTCCAGTAGTATGTAATGCTTTTGTTAGTGACTCAAGCAGCAGTCTATTCTCTATTTGCTTGAGAACAATTTGGTTTCAAAGGCGAAGGTCTTACTCATGTTTTCTGTTTCCCAGCTTCTTCCACTTAAACTCAGTGTGCCTCTCCTTTTTCAGCTATATTAGTTACTGATTTGTGACATGCAGAGCTTTTATTTTTGAAAAGCTAAATATCAGAAGCTGCAAATTACAGTTGTAAAATATCAAAGCAAGAATTAGTAATCAGCATGACTCATTTGGGATACATATTACTAGACAGACTTTGGAGACATAGACTGCAGAAATAACAAGTGTCTAATTTAAGGCAGGGAGCGAAAGATGTTGCGGTAAATGGGGGGAAGCTTGTTGTGTGACTAAACCTTCAAAAGGATGCTTGGAGGTTGAAAATAAACGAGCACTGGGAATAATGGGAAGCATGAAAATGTGAAAAGGAAATGCAGAACAATATGTTGGCAGTGCAGGAAAGGGAACTTGAGGTTTATTAAAAGAATTCACTGTAGAATAGTGTGTGTTTATAGATGCTATACAAATAGGGTTATAGGAAATCCTTAAGTGACTGTCCAAGGTCAGATGTTGATCGTGCCAATGTTTCCACTACCAATCTTCTGTTAATGGGTGGGGAGGGCGTAGGGCCACATACAATGTTGTTAAATTGGCTGTATGTGTGTGTGTGTGGCATGATGCTCATTTATAGATTAGACTAACAACTTCCCATAGTAAGAAATTAGTCAGGCTTCCAGTCTCCCATATACAAACCAGCCAAACAATTGTAGTGTGTGTGAGAGAGTGTGTGGGGTCAGCTTCTGACATTAATGAGGACATGGAGTCAATAGAGTTTTCCTGAGCACTTCTAGGAAGAGCATCCTCACATGCGGCCTCCCATGGTTTCAGACTTCCCCAACACACACTAAAAGCTATTGTAGGCTGAACACTGTTGGCAGGTGGGCTGTATTTCTTTACTTTGTTTATGTTTTGTGCTACTAGCAACAAATTACCTTTTTATGTTTCCATCCTTTACAATTGGCTTGTGAATAATATAACTTTCTTCTTGCCTGAATACTTTTGACTTTCCTGCAAAAAATACCAATATATGACTTAAATCATGCAGCCTTATTCATTCATATGTTGATTTGAAATAGTTTACTCTTGGTTAAAATATATCAGGATATAGTGATGTTGAGGCCTAGCTGTTCACTGCTTTCTCGTGGTTGAACCTTTCGATAGATGATGGCTTTGGTAGTTTATTTTCCTCTTGCTTGCGAGTGACTTCATTACCAGTATTTCATCTATGCTATAAACCCACTAACTGGACACACTCTTTAATGAACTGATTTGATACATTATAAGTTTGATTCCTGCTTTATGAGTATAGTTTCTTCTACATTCACACGTATTGTGATCCATCCTAGACTTGGAGTCTGAATCTGTCTTTTGCTGATCAATTGAATGATTTACTTGAAAATAAATGTAAGAACATGTACTTCACATTTAATAAATCATTCAGTAGATCTCGGTAGCCCTGTTAACCATTTGCAACATTGCCTCATATGTAAAAAAAATAAATATATAATACAACCAGAGAAATCTCTGAGAGCTGATTTATATCACTACAGTGTAGAATGTCACATTTTCCGAACCTACAGTAATTGACAAAATGTCTTGATAATACCATATATGGTCCTAGCTCTAACACATAGTGTGTTAAGTACTAAAATCTATATGTATTAAAGAAAACCCATTTTAACACAATGGTTAGGGTTGGTTGAGAGAAGCCCAGTCTTTATGTATTGTGCCAGTCTGGACATTTTGTAAGGCCTGGTGACCTTGACCCTGTCCTTGACGGTGTGATGATTGTTCTGGTATGCAGCACAAATAGTCCACAATAGAGATGTGGACATACTCCCTAATGACCTTTTGGTTTCCCTTTCCAGCAGCTTCTCTTTCCTCCCTTTTCCTCACATGATTCGACCTTTGAAACCAGATGAGTTTATTGCAGGTTAAAGGGGACCAGTTTTTTTAAAATGCTGTATCTTGTGTTGGACGTTCATTTAGCTGATTTATACAGATTTTTTTTAAAAAGCTAGTTATTTACCCCATATATTTTGAAAGTAGTTCCTGTCTTCTGTTTTGAGCAGTGAAAACATGATGTCCATGTTTTTTTGTCGGCCTCATATTCAGATATTCCTCAGCCACTGTGTTTTTTTTGGCTGTCCGACTGGTTGTGTGTTTTGGAAAGATAAAAAGTTTGTGCATCACTTTTGCAATCCTGGAAAGAACCTGTTAATTCTTCTTCAGCACTTTGTTTTTTTTAGTTTGAATGGCAAAACACAGGTCTTATCCTCATTGATGGTCGTGCTTTCACTCTCAGGCAGAAATTGAATCTAAACTGCATGAAAGAATAATCAAATAGCTTTTATATTTCACACTATATTTCAAATGGCTCATTAAACTCCTTTCATTGGCCAACGCTTGGAGCTGATGTTTCCTATTTCCATTAGCAACCTATTTTGATTTAATCACTACTTTTCATTGGCTTTACCCTCCATTTAGAGCAGGGGTGTCAAACTCAATTTCATCGCGGGCCACATTCGCATAAAGGTTGCACTCAAAGGCCCGGTTGTAACTATATAAATATATAATATATATATAAAATAATGTATTATATTACATTATTGCCTCTGAATTGGAT